GTGTACGTTGATGAAAGTCCTTATTTCAAATTCATTAGTCAGATCAATGCGTATTGCATATAAACGCCAACTACAGTTATCAATTTCACAATATACCTCGTTAAGGTTTTTGTTAGAATGTTTGGTCTTAAACTAAAACTTTTCTCTGGTTGCTTTAAGACTCGAAGCAAATATTAGTTGTTGTTTGTTAGCATACGTTTGACGAACAAACATATCATCATTTGGACCTAAACTGTGAAATGGTTCAGGTTCAACAATGGGATCAGGACAATCAGGTATAGGAGGCATACCGTAAAAGATGTCTGAAGCTTTTTTTCCGTGTGTGAACTCATCTTCTGACCATCCTTCATTTGACTCTTCATCGTCTGACACAGTTTTGTCACGTACTCTTCCAAACTCACATAAATTTTCTTCTTCCACCGTATTCATTGTCACAGTTTCTTCCTGTGGACACTCTTCAACATTATCAGATACAATGTTTTCAACATTGTATGGTACAATCTTGTCAACCGCTTCTGTCTGTTCGACCCATCCCTTAAACACCTCCAAATACAAATGCACAATCTCCTTCGTTTCAGACATTACATTTATGAGTTGATAAATATCTGTTTCGTCTACAATATTCATAACATACCCATGAACCGGGTGTTGAAATGACAATGATATATTACTATTGAACGTATTAGCCTTACTTTTAACTAAATCAAATAATATTCGACGGTCAAAATTAGGTGGAAGCAGTAAACCTAAGTTGTTAAACTTTGGTCTAACGTAGGTGTTAATTCCATTACTCATCTGTCAAATACCCCCCCCCCCCCCCGATACATAAAATAACAAAACTTATATTTTCTTTGAAAAAATTTTCAACCTTAAAACTGATTGAATATTGCAGATAGATCAAAAAAAGAAACAAAATGACTTATATCACAAAAAATTGTCGCTAATACCCTTCTAACGACCCATTTCGCGGAGAGGTTAAGGCCTCCGTGGAGCCCTCGTCACGACCTCTGCGGGGGGTTTTTAATGAACATCAAAACAATCACTCCGCGGAGGTATCTATGCGGAGAATCATTACTCAGTCTTAAAGCGTACAACATTTATCGTTCCGCGGAGAATTCGTCGTTCCGCGGAGCCTGTAGAGGGTCCTCCACGAATTGCATGTCTATAGCCGGAAAGGTTTGTTTTTGTGACTAAATTTTGAAATACCCCCCCCCCCCCAAAAAAAAAATGTCTATAACCGGTATTTTCTCTTTTATTAATTTCCACCATTAGTTTAAATGTTAAAGTAGTGGAGAAAAATAGGACACGTCAACATAAGTGTAAACTTTAAACTTTATTAATACGGTGGATAGTAATATCAAAGTTCTTGAGATATTAAACACCAAACGCAATTAAAATTTAAATCTACGATATGTGTGTGTGTGTGTATATATATATATATATATATATATATATATATATATATATATATATATATATCAAAATTGAATTAGTTGGTATGATAATATCATGATATTTAAAACTTGGAACCATTATTGTACTATATTTATTCAATTTGTATGAATATTACAAAACCAAAGATGTTGGCTACAAAATATATTGGTTACAAATATTATTGGTTTTGTTGGTAACATGTTAGTTGGTTGGTACATATTTACCAGCCTATAGTACTCCTTGTAAAAATGGACCATTTATATATATATATATATATATATATATATATATATATATATATATATATATATATATATAAAGAGAGAGAGAGTTTATTAATACTACGATAAATTGATAATTGTTATAAAGATAATCAAAACAAAATTAAACAATAATAGAATATATCTAATTTAGGTAGAAAATTGCCAAAACAAAAATATAGGGTTAATCTAAATAATGGTCTCGATTAAAAATTGCTTAATGGATTAAATTTGTAATGGGTCGGCCTTAATAAACATGGATGAATAAAAAGATAAATAAGCTAATTCAAAGAAAAAACAATGAATTTAAAAAAAAAAAAAAGAACGTATGGGACTAATTTTATCAAAAAAAAAAACACACACAAAAGGTGTATTTGTCAAGAATCGTACCCTAATCACCATACAGAAAGATCGAAGGTGACACCTCTTAGACTGTGAACAGTAACAAACTTGACATTGTTGATATGTACTTGGCGAACACTACGCCATGAACTCGGAATGTCGAGTTCGGAAGCAGATAGGTAGTTATATGGCTTCAATAGTAGGCTTTGGCCCACCCCACACAAATTTGAAGTGAAATATATATCATATATATAATTTATATTTCTTTTGAATAAAATTGTGACATGGTCCACCTCATTCCAAACTTAAATTTATAATGAAGGAAGTAATTGACATGTGAGGTATGTGGTTTAAAGAATTGAGACAACAATTTTTTAAACATATCAAATTGCATTTCAGTCTTCACTGTAAATTCCTCGTTCATCAGGTTCGTATATTAATATTTTGTTTATTATCTTAATTAATCAATTACTTCCAACTTAAATGAACAATTACCTTAAAATCATACATTGTTATATTGTGTTACCATTTGAATTATTTTGCTACTTGTTCATAGTTTGTAAATTATTTAATCTACCTTAAAACAAAATCCTGGCTACGCTACTGTTCGAAAGCCTAATTCGACGACCAACTGCCAATTTCTCTCCTCTTTGACTTATTCTCCTCCCTTTCTTCTCCCCCACTCCACAACCCACCACCTCACACCCTCTCTTCTTCTCCATTTCTTCTTTGTTGGAGCTGAGGTGGAGTTTGGTGAGTTCAACACCACTCCCCTCGACCTTAAGAGGTTGATTTACTAGACGTTTTTGTACATATTTATGTAAAACAATATACATTAATGTATTTACCAGATAATTTGGCTAAAACTCGGACTCTATTTTTTCCCGAAGCTCTGTACGGTCTCACACCCGAAACCCCCTCATGGTCGGGCATGCTCCTTGTAGCCTTAGTGATATGATTATACCGTTGCAGAGAACAAGGCTTACATAACAATCATAAAAAGGAAAAGGTGTTTATTTGTTTAAAAGAGTACTTAAACATAACATATTAAATACAACACAAATTAACACTAAGACCATCCGTTATACTCACCACTAACCATTATAGTGGTTGGTGCCACATCATTGCCATATTTTTAACACTAAACCATGAGATACCTACCACTACCACACCATTCCACCTCATTTTTTTTAATTAAATTTAATTCAAAAATATATAAAAATGCAAATACAATAAAAACATATTATTAAAACTAGTTTTTTATTCAATTAAAAAACATTACATAATTTAAAAAAAACAACTAAAATAAAATAGAAAAAAACATAAAAATGCAAGTACAAACAACTTAAACTAGTTTCAAAACCCCATTTTTTTAATTATTACATTTTGGGGAATCCTTAAATTTTAGCTAAGCTTTGAGGTGTGTAAACGGTTTGTGGTTTATGTCTTCATATTGATGTATGGCCATAACAACGGATCGATATCGTCTTCATGTACGTTGTCTATAACAAAGTTATAAACTCCATCAAACTCTCGACATTTTATCCTTATATCGCGAAACTTTGAACATATTGCATTAAGATTACGACTTCAACAACCCATTAAATCATGAAAAATGTTTCCAACTTTTACCCAAAAATCACTAGATGTTCGACTATCTGGGTCTTCCGAAACCGACATCCATGCTAGTGCTAAGTTCTCTTCTTCCTCTTCTGACTAATTCATCATTTTGGGAACCATTGTTTTTAAAAGATCAAGCAACACAAGTGTGTGATTGTGAATAAAATGAGAGAAGAATTGTGTAAAATATAAGGAATTGTGTTGTGGTATTTATAAAAAAAATGGTAGGTAAATTTTTTTAAAAACAGATATTGAGTAAATGCCCAAAGTAGCCGTTAGACATGGACCAACTTTGATTGGGCGTTTTATTCTGTGGTGTCGACCACGATAGGCCACGGGCACGGCGAACCACGAAGGTCCGGGCTAGTGTGCACAAGCCACAATCGTGACCACCTAGACCACGGAACCGTTTGTGGTATACATACCGGAAGGCCTAAAGGATCCGGATAACCACAATCTTAATGGTTCTCCTCGATGGCATTATCTGAAAGACCATATTTCATGTTTTGTTTTTTTACCAACACACTTTTCATATTTATCTAAGAACATCCACAAGAACAGCTTTTGGAAAGGTTTTTGGGTCAAATAAGTTTAGTCAAAATAAGCTTGATCAAGTTAAAAAAAAAAATGAAAAAAGACACTATTATTAGAAGATTTTGCATTTCAAATGTAACTTTACAAGTTTCATTCATAAAGCTTTTTATTTTATTCTTATACTTTATAAACAAATAAAAAGCTTTGTTAGGACCAGTGAGAAGATTTGTGAAAATATTTTTGGTTGTTGATATGACTTTAATATGATTGTAATGACACCAAAAAGTTTATCGAAAAAACTTTCTTATTATAGATGATTTCACCTCATATTATTGGATTAGTTCTTTTTTACTAGGAACCATTTTTAGTTGGACTTAAATCCAACTTTTTTTTTAACACCATCAATGTCAAGTTAACATGCAATAAAACTATGTTTTTCAATCATATTTTCAACAAAACAAACATCTGAACTAAAACCATAACCTTTAGTCCTTTACAACTCTCAACGATTTTCTAATATACTGATCACTTCAAAAATTGAGCGTTCAAATCCCTCTCAGATCTCAAAACCCTTAAAACGCATACAAATAAAGCTCAACACAAATCTCCTACCCTATTACTAATAAACAGTTCAAACCCAATCCCCACCATAAATCTCCAAAAAAATAAAAGAAACCACTTATTTAATATAGTGTACGTGTATTGTTAAAAAAAGAATTACCCCAAAGATGACACCTGTAATTATGTAATCAAAAGATGATTTTTTCCTATTTCATGTTTTATATTTTCATAAAACCCAAAAACTCAATTCCCCTTTTTATATTGCGCATGCGTTTCACAAATAATCCAAAACAACAAGATAAAAAAGCAAAGTTCCATTTCCAATCTAAGGCCCACAAGAATCAACATGCTCCAAGGTACCTTTTCGAGTCCCATTTAATACAAAGTCCAAAAATAACATGTACTTAAAAAAAAACACATGACAAACCGGGTCTGACTGACTGACTTTCTTCTTTTTAGACCCGGTTTGTATACACCTCTACTAACACTTTACTACTATCCTTGCACGGCCTTGGCAAGGCCAAAAGCAGCTGCAGATGCTATGACCCCAATCAGGGCAGTCTGCAGCGCGCTCCACACTGGTCTGTCGCCAGTGAAGTAACCTTTGGCAAACCCAAAGACCAACAACGCGAATATGGTCACAATGACGGATGCAACCAACGCTTTTTCAGCGATTGGGATGAACATGTAAGGTGAGAGGGGGACCGCTCCACCCAAGACATAAGCTATTGCTATTGTTAGTGCGCTTTGAAGTGCTCTTTTTGGATCGGGCTTCTCAAGTCCAAGTTCAAATCTGGATAATAAATAAAAGGTGTATGAATTAAGATCAAGATTCAAAAGTATTTGTTTTTGTAATATTTTTTATTGGCCAAAAATATATGATAACGATATCTTGTCTTTGTATAAACTTGATTTATTTTTAATTCAATGAAGTGTGGCTAACGTGCTAAAAAGGCCAAAAGTTTACTTAGGAAAGAGCAACGTGTGATTGTGACCAATATTAAGTATAAACAATATAGTTAATCCAATATTTTTTTTTTTATAATTTTTTAACAGAATAGCAGATTGCTTCTGGTTTGCTAGATGCCAACATGCATAAACTTTTTACTTAAATAATCATGAAAACATTCTCAAGACACATAAAAGGACAATGTTTGGCATTTCGATGTCTAATCATGGATTACTTCATAAAACAATTAAGATTTTCTATGTCTACAATTTGGAATTTTTTTCCTTGAGATCTTGTATGTTAGACATCATAGAACAAGTTATGTATTGTGCAAAAGACACAAATGTCTTCCTTATCATCATCATCATCAGAAATATCTGTAAAAAAATTGTCCTACTTTTATGGAGAATTTGGCCAGGTAAGAATCAAAGTTCTAAGCATAATATACTAATTGTACTGTGTAATCATGGTGTACATGGATATGCACCTTAGGTGGTTAGCTAATTACTCAAACAAATATGAGATTTGAAAGAGAGTATTATTTGGATCAAAATTCAGTAATTAACACTTACTTCATCATGAAATCAAGCCATGCTTTTGGGTTCTTTCTCAGAGCATTCACCACGGGTTGATATTCATGTGGCTCCACGCCATATTCTGCTAGTATCTCTGCAACTTCAGCCGCCTCTACAGTTTATATAGAATCAAATCATCAAAGATCAATGAATGTGTATCACGTAAGTATATATGTATCTAATCTGTAAAATGAAATTAAGAAATGAACCTGTATCAGGTATGGTATCAATTTCTTCTTGTTCCCTCTGTAGCTCTCTAGCGTAATGATCAGCCTCGCTTTTCGCAGCCAAATACCTAATCGGTAAACGCAGATTTCATTAATCAGACTAAGGATAACAAATTCGAGATTGTTGATTGTTTATCAAAGCTTAATAAGTGCCTTGAATCATAATACAAAGTACAAACACTAAGAATAAGAATATGTTTGTGATAATTTCATATCGAAATAGTAGGATTGACCTCAAAAAACGAATTCGAAAACCCTACAGAGCACTCGCATAGTCGCATGCAATTTGCTATGGTGGATTATAATAATTACAATTTTGTTTCTATCCTGAATCCGGTACTAGATGACGACATGCCGTTACAGAGAACAATTTTATGACGAAAAAATAAATCGTATTCGAATGAAGTGTTTAGAATGCTACTGAAATTAATCAACCAATAAAACCTAAAATCATTGCAATGAAATAAACTTGGTTAACTTACCCGCCGAGTCCCATGGAGATAGCACCAGCAGCAACCTCCGCTATTCCGGCGGTGAGGATGATGGAAGACGAAGCATTGGCACCGGAAAGCCCCGCCGCAAGAGCGAAGGGGACGGTAAGGCCATCGGAAACGCCGATGATGATATCACGGACAACTTCACCGGCGGTGAAGTGGTGCTCCTTGTGCCGATTCAGTAAATACTTTTCCGATTCACCGACGGTGCCCATTATTGATATTTTTTAGCGATCGAATTGACAAGTAGAATATACTGCGTGTGAGTGTGTATGTTGTAGTGGAGTTCGAATTGGATATATATAGCTAGTGCGGATTGTGCGGGAGGTGACGGATGAGAGCTAGAGCCTAGAGGAAGCCTTTTTACGAAAGTGGTCCATGCAAATTGGAAGAGTTGTCACGGGAAATCTTAAGTTGCATTTAGACCCCTACAAGTTTAGTAAGTCGCATATCGTTCCTTGCAAATTAGATTTGGCAAAAAAAATGTACTCGAACTCGAAACCGAGTTAACAACGGATGGGGAGTCCCTCCATAAGACAAGAAGATATTAGACGGAAGATATATAGTTTTTGTGTGTGAAAAGAAGAAAAAGAAAAGAGAAAGAGAGAGTGTACAGAGAGAGAGAGGGAGCACAACGACTTATATTTTGGAGTAGAGAGGAGAAAGAATGTGGAGTTGAATGACCATTGAACGGTGCAATAGAATTGTAATGAAAATTTATGAATTTTTTAAGAATTAAATTGAATGTATGTATTCTCTTTCCTACATGACAATCCATACAACTCTCTATGAGTTTAATCCATTAGATATGACATTAGTACTAACACAAAGGCATAGTAGTCTCATCGGCGGTACCGCCGACCCAAATCCTTCCGGCCTAAGCCACTCCAACCTCCCTTAAGGACAATGATGTGGATAAGAACTAAAATGATGGCACCCGTGGTTTCCGGTGACGATGATAATAATAATATATAAAAATAACGCATATATATATATATATATATATATATATATATATATATATATATGTGTGTGTGTGTGTGTGTGTGTGTGTGTGTCCCCGCACAATGTAGCGGGATAAATATTCAGTGATGGAATCAATTCAGTTATTTTCTGTTGCCTAACATGGAAGAAGTGTGTACTTGGCTTTATATCCCATTTTTCAGTTTTCTTAGGTACTATGGTATCTGTTTTTTGACTTCTAGTTTTTTTTGATATTTTTCGATTTTATATGTTTTTATAACTTTGGTGAGATTTCATGTACAATATGAATTTAAACTACTTGATTAAGTAAACAATTATTTGTTTTACTCTAGTAGTTATTGGATTTTTATTTTATTGGATGATTGTTTCGGTTTGTAAACATGTCATATTCGAAAGATCAATTGATGCATTGGGCATGAGCTTTGCATTTACTTGATTGTAGTAGCAAAGCTTAGCGAAGTTGAAAACTAATTCTTTTTATTTTGAATGAAGACATGTCATTTTCATGATTCAATGGTATTTGTCTTTGAATATCATAGGGTCTTTGGTCTAGTTGTATTAGAAGTTACCGACAGGTTCTTTTCAGTCAAAGATTGAGGGTTCAAGTCTCGTTTGAGACAAAATGTATATATTTTGGAGTAAAGTTAACGCGTATGTGTGTAACCTTTTCTAAGAATTTTGTAGTAGTGTAATTTATATGATGTTATCGGCCTTATACTAATAAAAAAACTGGACAATCAATGAAACAAAATACTTACCTTACATGGCTACGAAGCTGTAAGGGTTAGAGCTGTAAACAAACTGAACGTTCAACGAACGGTTTGTGAACCGTTCGACGGGAAGTTTGTTTATGTTCGTTTATTTGATAAACGAACGAACATGAACACAAATTATCGTTCGTTTAGTTAAACGAACAAACATGAACAATGATCTCGTTCGTTCAATTATGTTCATGAACGTTCGTTTATGTTGTTTGTTTATGTTCATTCATATAAGTTCATTTTATGTTCACATATGCTTAATTGTGTTTGATTACATTAGTGTATTATATGTTCATTTATGTTCATATATCTTCAATTATGTTTTTTTTTTTTTTTTTTTTTTATCTTTGTTCATTTATGTTTGTTTTTTATGTTCGTTTAGCATGTTCACGAATATAAACAAACACAAATTAGCAATGTAATTTGTTAAACGAACGAACATGAACAAGTAAACTCGTTCGTTTATCCGTTCGTGTTCTTTATTTTTCCGGCTAACTTAAACGAATGAACACGAACAAGCCCAGTTCGTGTTCGTTCGGTTTGTTTACAGACCTAGTAAGGGTATACCGCCATTCCGGTGGACGGTGGTAGCATTTACAGAGAATGGTGTTCCCTCCTCTTCCATGTCGGTTATTCCCTTATTCATATTCTTCCTTATTTGTATCCTCTCTAAATCGGCATGGAAATGTCGATTCTCTCTCCAACCTCCATCAATATCCACTGATCATCTTCTTTCCCTCCATTTCCCATTTTCCCTCCATAACCGTGTCAGCAACCACGTGGGACATGACATGCCGACACCACTCTAAAAACCCTAAAATCATCACAAATTTATCTTTTCATATTAGAGATTAAATTTAAATAAATCTGTCAAAGTTAATTAAAATTTGAAGATTAATTCTATGAACCAAAAATATAAATAAAATTACAAAAATATTTACAAACATAGAAATTAAATGCGTTAAACATTATAAATTAAGTAATCGAACTTACGAGTAAAAAATTTCTATATTCGGTGCATTGATTGCATTAAAAGTAATATTTGTTCATGGTGGTAATAAGAAATTTTAAGGCATCGTTGATAAATTTATCCAATGAAAACAATTGACACTATGTAACTTTAAAATCAAATATGAAATTGGAAATACTAAAGTAAAGAAACAAAATTAATGAATAGAAATATTTAAACATTTATTTATTTAAAAACACACATGTTAGTAACACTTAAATATTTTACCATCATATAAAATGGGTTTCCTATTGATATTAAAAGATTCATAGTGGAATGGAATTTGTAATCTAACATAAACAATCATTCAGAAACAATAGAGTCATTTTCTAGTATGGATATGTTCAACTCATCTAAAGTACCATAACATAATATTAGTACATGAAAAATGAACAACAATCTGATCAACTTAATGTTAAAAGTTGCTTACAATGCGATTCATAACTGTAAAAAAATCTTGAGAAAAATTATAATACATCCATCAATTACTTAATAACTATCATTTAGACAAAAAAAAAAATATTTTCTTTATATATAATTAATTAATTGTGATTTATCACCTTCCAAATTGATAGAGTACGTTTTTTTATAATGATTAATAGTTTTCTTTATATATAAATAATAACCATAGTTTACAAAAATACTTATATAAAGTAATTTATTTTTAATTAACTTTCATCGATAAGGTTTAATTCGTTTTCCTTATTGAGTGGTATTAGCATAAAGTAATTTATTTTTAATGGGCTTTCATTGATAAGGTTTAATTGGTTTTCGTTATTGAGTGATATTAGCATAAATAATTTGTACATAATTGTTTAAGAATGATACTTCTTAAAATTCAAGAAAAGTTCAATATTTTTTATAATGTAGTTAATATATATATATATATATATATATATAGTCAATTCAAAATATCCAAATTCTGATACACATATAACAACATATCCTCCTTGACAAATGAAAATAATTTTGTTATTTGTCATCCTCTTGTTATTTGTCATCCTCTTATGCATTATGCCCCATGTTATTTTGTGGTAAATTTAGATTAAATTATATACATATGTCATTTTGTGGTTTTTTCCATTTTATTAAATTTCATATAATACTTAAATGTAATAATTGTAATAATAAATGTATATCCAATTCATTAATACAACTTTCGTTATAATTTCTAAATTTCTAAATTGAATCCAATTATTTTAGTTTTTTATTTATTTAAATTATTAGTTTAAATTTAAAAGATAAATAAACACTTCAATTTTAATAATTAAATATTTTTCTTTTTTTTTTCTTATAAATTTAAAATTTCTAAATTGTTAGATCTTCATGTTTATTTAATTTTTTTGAATAAACTCATGTAATACATGAGTCTCCCAACTAGTTAATTATTATTTAGTTGAAATTATATATTTTATTAGAAGATATTGTTACCTATTTTATTGATATATCTTTGGTATTTATCTTTCCGTTCATTATAGGCATTACCATGTATTGTATAAATGTACACATTGTGATTAGTCAGAAGGCAGTCAAAATTTACCTTGTATTATGGTATCAGAGCAACCCTAATTCTCTTCTTCTCCCCCACGGCTTCTTCCTCATCGTCGATCTAAACCCTTTCTCATAACACCTTCTTGCGTTATCATACGATGACTGGTACATTTGAATCTCCCAATCCGTCCAAAACACCTTCCAATCCCATTTTCAGTGTCAATAACATCAAAAAATCTATCCATATTCTCCTTGATCTAATCGATGGTCAATATGCCTCATGATGGAACTATTCAATATCCATGCATGTATGTATATTGTGTTTTACCATATAAACCCTAAATATTCCCGTCCTATTGATATCAATGAACCTACTTGGTTTTGCCTAGATGCGGTTGTCAAACAATGGATCTACGCAACAATCTCTCCAAATCTCATACAAAATCTCATGAAACCTGAGGTTGCAGCTCAAAAACTTCGGAACCATCTTGAATAAATCTTTTAATATAATAAAGAAACAAAAAGCAATTTACTTGGAAGAATAGTTTAACACCTGTAACACTCGCAGATTCGGGCTAGTCAATTAAGATATAATAAGCGTTAAAAGGACTTTTTGATTGAAAATTATTTAGGATAAGTAATCTTAACCAAAGTTATAGTATATGTGACAATGATTTCGTATATATAAAGAACGTTGAAATCCGACTTCGTATGAAGAAGTTATGATTCTTCGAATTTTCGCGATTATACCAGCACAACTCTGCGTATCATAAAAAAGTGAAATTTTGATAAACTGTTTTTTTAGCCTAAGTGATCTAAATGAAAGTTGTAGTAGCCGTTATACTCAGAGTGTGCATATAGAGAACGTCCAAAATTGACTTCGTGAGAAGAAGTTATGATTTTTCGAAGTTTTAGCGCAACAGTGCAGACTCAGAAATTAAAATTCAAATTGGTTGATTGTTAGCGGAAATAATCTAAACGAGAATTGAAGATCTCATGAATACGAACCCATCGATATAAAGACGGCCGAGAACGGAGCGCATATGAAGAAGT